CAGTCACAGAGCCAATAACTTCCAGAGGCACCCGAAGCGGCGGAAACTGATCAGGCCGTCTCCTCCACCGCCGCCGAACACCCCGTGTCCCCTGGAGCAGCTGGACCTCAGCGAACTGCCCCCGAGACGCACTTTCCCCGAGCTTCTCTTCAACGGATCCATCTTGTTTGGTATCGAGTTCAGCTACGCGATGGAAACGGCGTATGTTACTCCTGTGTTGCTTCAGATGGGGCTGCCCGACCAGTTCTACAGTCTTGTGTGGTTCATCAGTCCAATCTTAGGTTAGTAGACATTAATCATCAGCTTTCAGTATGAATATGTTAGCCTTGATGTTATGAATAAGATTTGTGAATTAATCATTCATAGAGAATGTTCTACGACTCAAAAATCTATACTTTTCTCCTGAACGTAACTAACAAGCTAGAGCAGATGCCAAGTTTTACAAAGCCATTATTTACCTTTAGAAGAACACATGGATTACTTTGTAAAAGCATTCACTTTCATTATGGAAAAAAAATGAGCTGGATATGCTGAATAGGAAAATATATATTTAACATGCAACTATTGCAGTTGCAGCCACCTTTTAGTATTGTCTATATATTATTATAGTATTTATTAATATTTATTTATTTTTATGTGCTTATGTGCTTTAATTAAATCACCTTTATTCTAGTTTTATTTCGTTTATTTTTTGTACTTTAACATAAAAAAATGATTTCAGCTTCAGTAAATATTTCAGTTTGTATGTAAAGGCAACATTTCTAGTATTTAAAAAATATTAAGTTTTTTATTTTTATATTTTATATATATATATCCTAATGTTATTATGAGCTTTTTTTTTTAATTGCATTTAGCTTTAATATAATTCTTTGTCATTTTAATACTTCTATTTTTATTTCAGCTTCAGTAAATATTTATTACAGTTAGTTTGCCAACACTGTAAAAAAAAATATTGTTGGTTTAACTTAAAAAAATAAGTAACCTGGTTGCCTTAAAATTTTAAGTTCATTGAAATTAATACAATGAAGGAGATTGATTTAATCATCAGAAACTCAAAATATTATGTTATCTGAACTACATTAATAATATAAGTTGATTTGATAGAAGAAAAAAATGTTGTGAAAATATTTTTTTTTTTACAGTGAAGGCAACATTTCTTTTCCGGTTTTCATATAATATTTATATTGCAAAATAAATATTTAACAAATACTTTTTGTTTATTTTTTTACATAAAATATGGAAATTTGTACCCGCACCACTATTGGAACTAACTATAGACAGGGACGTTAAAGCCAGTCTCTAGTGTCAGACAGTCGCTAGTGCACTTCTTGAGCTCAGGGGAGTGAGGTTTATCTGCACAGCTCTCCGGTTCACTCGTTTGGGGCAGTTGTGGCCTAATGCTTATTCTCAGTACCAGGAAATGACAGATCTGCCCTTGAGCAAGACACCTAACCTCCAGCTCTTATTAACTGTTACATATAGCAAAACCAGTTTTTTGATTCTTTTATGATTTTCAGGATTCCTACTGCAACCCATTCTTGGAGCATGGAGTGACCGATGTACGTCTCGCTTTGGCCGCAGGAGACCTTTTATTTTTGCCTTGGCGATAGGTAATTTAGCTATTTCAAACTTCACTAATTGCTCAAATCAAGCATCTATTTCTCTCTTTTTCAGTCACATTTAATATGTGGCATCGAAACTGCAGTTTTTCTGTGAACTAATGCAAGAAGGTGGTCGTAATGTTGCTCTGTTGTTGTGTTTGTAGGGGCTCTGCTGGGTCTAACACTGGTGCTGAATGGAAGAGACATTGGATCAGCGCTGGCGGACACGACCCTGGATCACAAGTGGGGCATCGTGCTGACGGTGTGTGGTGTGGTTCTGATGGACTTCAGCGCGGACTCAGCCGACAACCCCAGTCATGCGTACATGATGGATGTGTGTAGCCCAGAGGACCAAGACCGAGGCCTAAATATACATGCTCTTCTGGCAGGTTAGAGGAAAACTTTTAGATTAATTATGGTTATTCGTTTTTTCTCTTTTTCTCAAGCCAATATATTTAGTCATATATATACTACTATAGTATTTATTAATATTTTGAATTGGCTTTTATTTTTATATTTACATTTTTATTAGTTTTTTATTAGTTTAAGTCCTAGTAATTGTATTATGTGCTTGTCATTTTTAACAAAGTTGTATATGCCCTGTGGCCTTTTATTATTTATTTATTTATTTGGGCTAATTTGACTATGTTTTCATTTACCTATAAAAATAGAGTTCTCTCAGACTCATTAACATTTTAATTGACCATATTTAAACCAATATTTATTTATTTTAGTATCATTTACAGTGTACTATAGTATTTAATATTGTGAGTTATTTTTTATTTTTATAATGTTTATTTTAGTCAAGTCATCATTTTGCTATGTGCTTTTGTCATTTTTTAAAGTTTTGTTTAGTTTTAGTTTTATTTAATTTATTTTATTTAACACTTATTTCTACAGAAGATGATTAGGGCCAAGCAATAATAAAAATAATAAAACCATATCGAGATTAAAGTCATTATAATGCGAGATTAAGCTCGTTAAATTTCGAGAAAAAAAGTCGAAATACAATCCTGAGAATAAACTCATTAAATATCGAGAAATAAAGTCGTCATGTTTCGAGAAAAAAATCGTTAAATTTCGAGAAAAAAAGTTGAAATACAATCTTGAGAATAAACTCATCAAATTTCGAGAATAAAGTCATTGTGTTTCGAGAAAAGAACTCGTTAAATTTCTAGAAAAAAGTTGAAATACAATCTTGAGAATAAACTCATTAAATATCGAGAGTAAAGTCGTTGTGTTTCGAGAAAAAACTCGTTAAATTTTAAGAAAAAAGTCGAAATACAATCTTGAGAATAAACTCATTTAATATCGAGAATAAAGTCGTTGTGTTTCAAGAAAAAAATTGTTAAATTTCGAGAAAAAAGTCGAAATACAATCTTGAGAATAAACTCATTAAATATCGAGAAATGTCGTTGTGTTTCGAGAAAAAACGACAATTTTCTCGAAATTTAACGAGTTTTTTAATCGAAACACAACGACTTTATTCTCGATATTTAATGAGTTTATTCTCAAGATTGTATTTCAACAATTTTCTCAAATTTAACGAGTTTGTTCTCGAAACACAACGACTTTATTCTGACTTTATTCTTTATATTCAATGAGTTTATTCTCAAGATTGTATTTCGACTTTTTTCTCGAAATTTAACGAGTTTAATCTCGCATTTTACTGACTTTAATCTCGAGATGGTTTTATTATTTTTATTATTGCTTGGCCCTAATCATCTTCCGTATATTTCAGTTAGTGAAGGCAACGTTTTTTATTTTTAGTTTTTCACAGTTTTAGTTTTATTTAACAACAACAACTATTGCATCACATTCTATTCTTTCATTTAACTATTGCATGTTTCATTTACCCCAGGCCTTGGAGGCGGCTTTGGTTACATTGTGGGCGGCATTAACTGGGACAAGACTGAGTTCGGAAGGTCAATAGGTGGCCAGCTCCGGGTCATATACCTGTTCACCAGCATCACCCTCGCCGCCACCACGGCCATGACCCTCACCAGTATTCCTGAGCGAACTCTACCCAAGTCCCAGCCTCAAACCAGGAGCGGCCAAAACCTGAAGAGCCCCAACCTCCCTCTTCCGCCCTCCCCCCCGCCTCCCCCCGGGGCTGCTGTCGAGCAGGACGAAGAGGACGAGGAAGAAGCCTTGTATAACAGCCAGTTCTCCAGTTACCGCCACCAGGATCCACTGGGTCGCTCGAGCAGCGCTAACGCACGTCTCTACGCAGGCCTCACCAGCCCCATCTCCCCTCTCAGTCCTCTGACACCCAAATACGGCAGCTTCATCAGTCGGGACAACTCGCTCACGGGCATTAATGAGTTCGCCTCCTCCTTAGGCACCTCCTACATAGACAGGGTATTGATTGAATGCTACACGGGACAGCAGACTCCAGAGCCACCGGGAGAAACGCCCCCTCCTCAAGGGCAGAGTGCAACACATGAAGTTTCACAGCCTAACGGAGAGTTGCAGGCGCTGCAAGCTAATGAGCAAAATCAAGCCATTGAACCCGCGGAGCCCAATGAGGCGTCGGGGTCACAGAGAGGCAGTTCCTCAGGGATACTGAAGCGTCCTCAGAGTCTGGCCTTAATAGAGGACCCGCTCATGACTCAAAGCGGCGGCTCGGACAACGGTCGTAGACGCACCGTCACTTTCAGTCAACAGGTCAGTGTGCACCGTAGGTTTGACGATGCGTATTGAACTTTAGCGTGGTTTTTTTTACCTTTATCTTTTCCCAAGGTGGCAAATATCCTGCTGAACGGGATGCGCTATGACAGTGACCTCAGTGGCAGCCATGCAGGAGCAGACTCTCAGATGTCAATCCTGCTGCTCTGTACCGCCATCTGCAGGATGCCTCCATGTTTACGAAGCCTGTGCACCAACCATTTCCTGGGTAATATAGGTTTTCAATCTCATTAGCCATACACAAAATATCATATATTTTATATGCATTTTTTTTTTATAACTAGCACTGACATTAAGATTTAGATAACAGACTAAAGTGTTAGCACAGACCTACAACTGATTACATTTCTTAATTACACTGTAAAAAATGATTGATGCAAATAGTTGTACAAATGAGGATATACATGTTGGATCAACATAATGGTTGTGTCAAAAAAGAAAAATATGTTTGGTCAATGATTACATGATTTCCATGACTGTACTACAAAATGTTCATCAGGAGAAAATAAATAACGGTGTTCACAGAATTTTTAACATTGCACAAAAAATATTATGTTGGCCGAGCAAGAGGGAACAGCGTCAATCGTCTGAGCATGCGCAAAGGAGTTCTACCAGGCTTTTGAATTTCCCCCGCCACGAGTCACGACATTGAATTGGTGAGTGAATTTTCTTTATTTGTGTTGCGAGGTAATTAGCAAATTTAGGTTAAGGATATATCTTGTGAGTAACGTTAAGTGATTAGCATTCCTTTCCAACTGGCATGCGGTTTTAACGTTGAACCACACGGTTAAGCATCGCATGGGTTGCCACCTGTGCCGGTTTTACCAGGATTGTCATTTGTCCTTCTTTTTAATAACTTGCCTCGGGAAATTTAAGCACTCGTTCGTTTCCGAAACCGAAAGGCTACGTGAATGTTCAAACTGTGTAGTGCGCGGCCGCGTGCACGGCACAGAGGGGGAGACCTCGCACTCGACATGTTAGAAACGCATGTAATTCCCGGTGGGCGGGTTGTCGATATGTCCCGGTTTTTTATCAGACATAGGTGGCAACCCTATGTTCCTGTTTAATATTTTAAATGTTCAATATTTTTAAATTCCAGTTGCATTCTTTATATATGTGTGATAATTGACTGCAACAGACAGCTAGTCTTGACAACTAACTTAGTGCTTTTGCTATCACAGAGTGACTGATCATTTAGGCTAGTTCTGAGTTAGTTTCCATTCAAAGCCCGTGTGCCATCGTGTTAGCAGCTAGTACTTTGCACAAGTACTTTTTAGAAAACCCTAATACATACTGAAGTATGGTTCTGTGTATAGAACTATGTGTTATTTATGCATTTGTAACGTTATTTATTTGTTTTTCAGGTATTTTTTCAGACTTAAAGCTAAATGCAGTGTCGCTATTGTACATTTTCACATCTGCAGCAAGACACAGGCTACAGGCTTCATCATTGGCAAGTAGGTAAATGTTCTTTTCCCTGCATTCATCCAGACTGTGTTTGTATTTTTACAACACACGCGCACACACACACTAATGACACATGATTTGGATATTTTTGTGTTTTTTTTGGAAAAAAATGGATTAAATGGGTTAATAATGTCTTATTGATGACCTGTATTTTTGGCAGACCACAGATCTAACTATTTATAGGTTTGCTGTTCTTCGTGGTCTTCCCCTGTACTTGAGAGAGCCAACTTCAATTTCAAAGACTTATATTTTTTATTTTATTATTTTTTTTTTTCAGACTTAAAGCTAAATGCAGTGCTGCTTTTGTACATTTTCACATCTGCAGTGCACATATGCAATGCTTCATCATTGGCAAGCAGGTAAAGGTTATTTTCCTTGCATTCATCCAGACTGTGTTTGTATTTTTACAACAACAGGGCCCTTAAAAAAACATTTATGGAGAGCACATCCTAAAATAGACAGCCCACTCAGACACACACCCCAGACACATCACGCACCCAACACACTCAAATCACGCACACCGCAACACACCCCGCACGCACCCCACACACTCACATCACGCACACACCACACACCCCACAACGTACACCACGCACGCATATCACACACCCGCACACCACAAACCCCACACTCAAATCATGCTCACCACACAACGCACACCCCACAACCATGCACGCACGCACGCACACCCCGCACGCACACCCCACACGCACACATCACACACCCACACTCACCCCACACGCGCGCACACACACACACCCCACAACCATGCACGCACACCCCGCACGCACACCCCACACGCACACATCACACACCCACACTCACCCCACACGCGCGCACACACACACACCCCACAACCCTGCACGCACACATCACACACCCACACACACGCGCACACACCACATAACCCTGCACGCAAGCACACCCCACACGCACATTAAAGATACTTGATTTGGATATTTTTGTGTTTTTTGCAAAATTTGGGATTAAATGGGTTAAAATGTCTTATTGATGACCTGTCTTTTTGGCAGACCACAGATCTAACCACTTATGGGTCTGCTGTTCTTCGTGGTCTTCCCCTGTACATGAGAGAGCCAGCTTCAATTTCAAAGACTATTAAGGTAATTTGAATATCTTTATGGTATTACTGTTTGAGATGCAGTAATGATTGCATAAGACATTATGCTTTCAGTCTGACACTTAGTGTCATTTATTGTGTTTCACAGAATACTGAGGCACTGGGGCCACACACAAAGGCCATGAAAATGGGGATCCTGGAAGTGACTGACAGTTCTACCAACTCAGGACCATATTCCACAGTGGTCAATGTGGCTGTAGTACTGGAGGAGGAAGTTGTCATGGACAATTTGGAAGACTTCACAAATGCCCTCGTGATGCTCTTTGGTCTGCTTTATGCTGTAAAATGGAGTAAGGACTTAAGGTACACATTTGAGGCAGTCCAGAAGATTATCTTAAACTGCTGCTCTGGAACTTGTTGATCAAATAAATTGATATTTGATTTGTAAAGCAGTAGGGATGGGCAATGGTTAATCGTGATTATTCGCATCCAAAATAAAAGTTTGTGTTTACATAATATGTGTATGTAGTGTGTATAATTAATTTGTATATATAAATACACACACATGCATGTATATTTAAGAAATAGCATGTATATACTTTGTAGTTATACATAATTAATATTATATTTGATATATTAATAACATTTTTTTCTTAAATATATACATACATGGGTATTTATATATACAAGTTAATTATACATACTACACACATATTATGTAAACACAAACTTTTTTTTGGATGCGATTAATCGTTGCCCATCCCTACAAAGCATTCATCCCTGAGAAATATTAGAATGTTTAATTTTTTAAAGTAGAGATTTATTTTGCCAATAGAACTGTTTTAATGTACATAGTGACATATGTAACCTGAAAGTAGTGGGCAGTACTTTGTATTTTATTTTTTCCATGTAATGTACAGTAATTGCCCTTAGTCTTAGACTAACAGACTAAAAATGTCATATGTTTACAGGCAAAGCCACTGTCATGTTTTACTGAGTAAAGCAGATATTTGTTGTACAGCTATTGACTAAGTTATATGCCACGCTTTCTTGAACTCTCAGAAGATCTTGTTTCGGCACTATTTGAATACTTGTGTAATATTTTACTTGAGACTAACAGGCAAGTCTTTTGTATTTTAATAAATGCATAAAATGTACTCTATCAGAGCCTAGTGTGTTATTTATTTGAAATAATGAAAAAGAGACTTTTTTGACCAACATTAATGAAAAATAGACTTTTTGGCCAACATGAAATATTTAATTAATACAACATTTTATTTCAATTTGAGTCTGTTCATTGGCCCAACAAGCTGTTCAGTCAACAGAAAATATTTAATTGACAACATTCTATTTCAAGTTAGGTCGACATGCAGGGGTAGTCAGCACAACACAAAAAAGTTGGTTTCCGCAACTTAAATTGGGCCAACTAAAAATTTTAGGTGCAACGGGTCACTAGAAATTTTTATGTTGGAGAGGCATATATTTTTTTACAGTGTATGGAATGATTAGCGAGGGGAATTTAACTTTGTAATTGTTACTTAAAACTATTAAAATCATATTTGATGTTCAATAAAAGTTGAAGTGAAATTTAAATATATGATGAAAAACCTTGCAATTGGATAAAAAAAGCAGTAGTTCCTTTTAATTGATATAAAGCTGAAATAAAATTTAAATATACGATGAAAAACCTTTCAATTAGATATAAAAAATGAGCATTTTTTCAAAGTTTAAGTTAAAGGACCCAAACTACTGAAATAAAAATTAATTAAAGTTAAATATAAATATTTAAACAATAAAAAAACAATAAATAAAAAGAGTAAAGACTAAAAAATAAATTAATAAATTCAAATAAATGTAAATGTAAAATATATATTTGTATTTAATATAATATATTTATTTAAAAAAAAATATATATATAATATAAAGTCATCAAGAAATACTATTATAGTGGATAAATAATGCTAAAATAACACTGATTTTAGGGAATGGATTTAAATGGATCTGGGAGGCAATCATTTTAAATGATATGCATTTTTTATAACTAGCACTGACATTAAGATTTTGATAACAGACTAAAGTGTTAGCACAGACCTAAAGCTGATTACATTTCTTAATTTAAGAAATTGGCTGAATTTAACTTTGTAATTGTTACTAAAAACTATTAAAATCATATTTGATGTACAATAAAAGTTAATTGAAATAAAGTTGAAATTATATTTAAATATTTGATGAATTAAAATAGTAGTATTATTTGATATAAAGCTGAAATAAAATTTAAATATATGATGAAAAACCTTTCAGTTGGATATAAAAAAAAATTAGCAATTTTAAGTTAAAGTACCCAAACTACTAAAACTAAAACTGAAATAAAAATGAATCAAAGTTAAATAAAAATATTTAATCAATAAAAAACTATAACTAAAAAGAGTAAAGACTAAAAATGCAGAGTTCAGATGCAAAAGCCTCTAAATGCCATTTGAAATTTTCTTCTAAAATGACCATTTTTATCAAGCTTGTATATTTAAGTTCAGTAATTTCACTTAAATGACAATTAATAGGTAATTATCATTGCCATTTAAGTGAAATTACTGAACTTAAATATACAATCTTGATAAAAATTATCATTCTAGAAGAAAATTTCAAATGGAACTCTTCAAATAGATTCAAATAAATGTGAATATAAAATATATATTTTTTATTTATTTAATTTTTTTTTATAAAATATAAAATTATCAAGAAATACTATTATAGTGCATAAAGACTAAAAATAGATTCAAATAAATTTGAATATAAAATATATATTTTTTATTTATTTAAAAAAAAAAAATTATAATATAAAAATAACCAAGAAATACCATTATAGTGGATAAATAATGCTAGGGAATGGATCTGGGAGTGTTATACATTTATCATTTTAAAAACACAAAGGCCCCAGGATGTGCACAACTTTGTGAATAAAAAGTGATTTTAAAATGTGCATCTCCCATCATCAATTTGGACTAAAACATGCCCCTCAGGTTGGCTGTCGTTCGAGGGGATGCTGCTCTTCTACACCGACTTCATGGGGGAGGTTGTGTTCGGCGGAGACCCAAAGGCTCACCACGATTCAGAAGAGTACAAGCGCTACAACTCTGGCGTCACCATGGGCTGCTGGGGGATGTGCATCTATGCATTCAGTGCTGCTTTTTATTCAGGTTGGGGAAAGTGCACATCTTGACCATGCGCAAAGACTAGTGTGTGTATTAGCGTCTCTTTCTCTTGCAGCCATTCTGGAGAAGCTGGAGGAGCGCTTCTCGTTGCGTTCGCTGTATTTCTTTGCCTATCTTGCCTTTGGTTTGGGCACAGGACTGGCCACGCTCTCCACAAACCTGTACGTGCTGCTGTCTCTCTGCGTCACCTACGGAGTGCTCTTCTCTTCTCTCTGTACGCTGCCTTACTCTCTGCTGTGTGAATATTACCAGAGCCCGCAGGTGAGAGGAAGATCATCTGCGACACAGAGACACACTTTAATTCCATGTTTTAAAAACCACTCAAAGGCCTCGGGACAGTTGCATAAACGCTAAGAACTAGTCTGACCAACTGGTAATTAGCCAGGGCTAGGTCTTTTCAGTTTCAGATTAGACCAGTCTACCTTTTTATGTGTCTGATTTAAAAAAAGTTAGGTTTCAAGGTGATTTACGTCACTATATGGACACCACATGTACCGCCACGTAAGAAAATAAAGACATGCTCTGGTAAATCATAGTTATGACGTAAAAAAAAGTCAAAATTATGACACAATTTCGACATAAAACAGTCAAAATTATGTGATGGAAAGTCAAACTTATCACTTTTGGACATGAAAAGTAAAAAATGACATACTAAATTAAAAATTACTTAAAAAAATTGTTATTAAAAGTCGAAAATTATGATTTAAAGTCAAAATTGTGACAAAAAGTATACAAACTAAATGTCACTACATAGTAATAACAGTATATATGAAGAGTTCAGATGCAAAAGCCTCTAAATGCCATTTGAAATTTTCTTCTTTAATGATGATTTTTATCAAACTTGTATATTTAAGTTCAGTAATTTCACTTAAATGACAATTAATAGGTAATCTTCATTGCCATTTAAGTGAAATTACTGAACTTAAATATACAAGCTTGATAAAAATGATCATTTTAGAAGAAAATTTCAAATGGCACTTAGAGGCTTTTGCATCTGAACTCTTCATATATTCATAATACAAGTAACTAACACTAAACCAAACCCTGAATCTAACAGTAAGTACATGTAGTTATTTAATTTAGTTTTTACTCGGTGTAACTACGTCACCTTAGAATAAAGTGTAACCAAAAGTCGAAGAACCTTGAAGAACAAATGATGACTAACTTGTAAGGCTAGTCTAAGACGTTTATGCAACCGGCCGCTGGTTTCACAGGGATTAATTAGGTTTTAGTTCAATTAGGATATTAAGTAACTTTGATAAACATGCCTTAAAAAAGACATCACTGGTATATGCCAGTGCAAGTTAAAACAAGACTCGATCCTTGTCGAGGTTTTATACAAATTTACAGCTCCTGGAAGAATTATTGTAAGTGCTTTAACACACATTTCTGCTTTTAAACCCTCTGTAGTCTTTTGCCCCATAGATCCATTGTAAGCACAATACAGAACATGCATTTTTTTCTGTTTTCACTAATGGAGGGAATATCCGTGGTGATGGACTGCATGCCTTGAATCGATCTCCTCTAAATGTTTTCATCTGTTTGATTGTGACTTCAGTTGCGCTCGATCTCAGTCACGAATGTCCACATGTTGTTCTCGCAGTTCTGCGGCTCATCCGAGGACGGGACCAGGCGGGGTATGGGGGTGGACATCTCCCTGCTCAGCTGCCAGTACTTCCTGGCTCAAATCCTGGTTTCCGTGGCGATGGGCCCTCTGACATCACTGGTGGGCGGGGCCCAGGGAGTGATGTACTTTTCGAGTCTGATGTCATTTGTGGGGTGCCTGTACTCCTCACTGTGTGTGGTGTACCATCTGCCAGCACCCGAGGGTGAGCCTCCCCAGAGTGAGACGCAGCCACTCCTGGTGCACATATAGATCTGCTCGCTCACGCCGGGTCCAAAATTAACACGCCATCAGCACCACACCAGTTGCCAGCTGTCTTGATTCGCAAAGCAAAGAAATCACAGCAGTCCTCTAAATAAAAGATCAAGCACTGTTGTGCATCTTCAATTGACTGTAGGCTAAAAGTGGAAAACGTACCATCAGATGTTTATAGGAAGCCAAAGGTGTTTTCATTGACAGTGCACTATAGACAAAAATACAAATTTAACCAAAACAAACTAACAGAACCATTCTGGTTTTTGTAAGGATTTTCAAATATGACTCAAATATGTAAGGATCATCTTTTTTATATATATTATTGCAAATAATATACATACATCAGGGTCCTTAAGTCTGGGACCACATTTAAGTTTTTGTTGTTGTTTTTTCACACATACAAATAAAGAGAAAGTTTTAGGATTTCTATATATAGTTTTATATATATATATATATAAGTCATTAAGATTTAAAAAATTGCAAAATTGACTAAATTAAAAGTCGAAATTATGACAAAAAGTAAAAAAAAAAAAAAATACTGAGTCAAAATTATGACTTAAAAAAATCTAAATTATTACATGTCAAAATTTCGACTTTACATCTCATTATTATGATTTACCAAAGCATGATTTTTCTTCTTATGTGGCGTAAAAAACAAATAAATATAACGTAGAATAACTATTATTGAATATCTTTTGAATATTCTAATTTCTAGTGTAAATAAATGAGGTAATTTTATTACAGTAAATTATGCTATTTTCAAATCATTCTGAAAAAAACACGATCATCTGGTTTTGTTTCAAATCATATGGAAGCCCATTACCGACACATACGAACATAAAAACATGCTCTGGTAAATCATAGTTATGACATAAAAAAGTGAATGATGACATAAAAAGTCCAAATTATGACAAAATTTCGACATAAAAAGTCCAAATTATGACAAAATTTCGACATAAAACAGTCAAAATTATGACTTCATAAGTCATTAAGATTAAAAAAATAACAAAATTGACAAGATTAAAAGTCAAAATTATGACTTAAAAAAACCAAATTATTACATTTCAAAATTTCGACTTTACATCTCATTATTATGATTTAGCAAAGCATGATTTTTCTTCTCATGTGGCATAAAAAACAAATAAATATAACGTAGAATAACTATTATTGAATCTAATTGAATATTCGAATTTCTAGGTGTAAATAAATGAGGTAATTTTGTTACAGTAAATTATGCCATTTTCAAATCATTCTGAAAAGTCAAAATTATGTGATGAAAAGTCAAAATTATAACTTTAAAAGCTGAAATTAGGACATGAAAAGTAAAAAATGACATACAAAATTAAAAATAATTACAAAAATTACAAAATTGACAGTCAAAATTGTGACATGGTTAAAAGTCGAAATTATGATTTAAAGTCAAAATTGTGACAAAAAGTAAAAAAAATTAAAAATACTGAGTCGAAATTGTGACTTTAAAAAAAAAAAAATCGAAATTATTACATGTCAAAATTTTGACTTTACATCTCATTATTATGATTTACCAAAGCTTATGTGGCGTAAATAGGCTTCCATAAAATAATCTAGTGTTGCCGTCATGCAAATAGACAAACCAAAGTTTACTAAACATCACTCAAATTTAGCTAATTGTTTTAAATGAGAAAAGAACGTAAAAAATAAAGCAGACTTTCGGACCCACTGTTGTGTATACATCAACAGCCGTTGGCAAACATGGTAAAAAGTTAATTTTGGACCCCGTCCGTGGACACGAACGAGCGGCTCAGACTCTGCGCTTGCTTCAGACACGCCTTCCTCACGTCACGCCGTGCTGGAGATGTGAGAGAGGGAAAAAGAGCGTTTTTGACTATGCATCTCACTCAGATCTCTTAACGCAAGCATGTGACTGCATGAGTAGTGTGTGTGTGAATGTGTCATCTGGCATATACATGTCAATGTTTTGTTTTTTTACTGTCGACTCCTCACAGAGGAGGAAGCCAAACCTGTTTATAGCTCTTTATATTGTTAAAGCTCATTGCTTGTAATAAAATTAAACCCCTCTCACATGTCCAAAGCAAATGTATCCAGAGGTTTGTTTGCATGTAAAGCCGCATCGATGCCTTACATTAGGCCTCTGTTTCGAACTGTAAAACAGAGAATGTGTGTGTCTATTGGTTCTTCGGTTTGCTTACACTGTTTTAAAGTCATCTGAATACTAGCTACCTACTACACGTGTTCTGAGTAGCAATATTCCTCTCGCATGTTTGCCATACTGTAACACGGCTCGTAGCTTGACGCTCCAATGACATATTTCTAAGACAAACATAAATGACGTATTTATGGTTCCATGTCATGGAACGCACGCTGTGGTCTGGCATCACGTGATCGTTGTAATGACCGTCGTTCTTGTCGTTATCAGGCAGAGCGGACGTTGAGGCCGAGGCGTGAGTGATCGGAAACAGGCCCTGTGCGGAAGAACAAGACAAATGTATTGTTTGGTGACGACAACAAATCCGGACTCTCCACCAGAGCGCTCGGAGATGTGCGCATGTATTGCCAAGCATCTTTTTATGTTTTTTTTTTCTGTTTTGCTTTGCAATACATGCGACACTTTTTTAAAAAAACAAAAAACTCATGTTCACCAGGTAGCAAGCCAATCAAGAAGCGACGAATAAAGAACTGAACAAGACATTTTTTGCCTAATCTACACAAGCATGTACAGATATGGCTTTGACTTCCACTTGATGTAAATAAGTGGCACTGTACAGGTAAATGAGAATTAAACAGCTGTCACAGGAGGACGATTTTGTGCTGCAGATGTGGTTTCTAGTAAAAACATGTTCATGATTTTAACCAGCAGGGGGCGCAGTAGGATCAAACCGGCTCTCGCCAAAGAAAATCCTAGTCTGCATTGTGTGAGAGAAGCTACTTTTAGATTTTAGCAAGAGTGCATTTCACCAGCGGTTAAGAGTCAAATACTCGGTGCATGTTCAATCTCGTTTTTAAAGGAGTAGTTCACTTTAAAAAAAATTTTTGCTGATAATTTACTCACCCCCATGTCATCCAAGATGTCCACATCTTTCTTTCTTCAGTCGAAAAGAAATTAAGGTTTTTGATGAAAACATTCCAGGATTTTTCTCCATATAATGGACTTCAATGGGGTCCAAATGAGAGTTTCAGTGCAGCTTCAAACGACACCAGACGATGAATAAGGGTCTTATCAAGGACCCTCCGAGTCATGACTCAAAAAAAAGATTTGTTCATTTTGATGAACAAGTTCAAACAAACGCTCATCACAGAACAGAGCAAGGCGACCATTTGAGCTTATAAAACTTAAACTTTTTTATTTATTTTTTAAATGAGCGATCGTTTTGCTAGATAAGACCCTTATTCATCGTCTGGTGTCGTTTAAAGCTGCACTGAAACTCTCATTTGGACCCCATTGAAGTCCATTATATGTAGAAAATCCTGGAATGTTTTCATCAAAAACCTTAATTTCTTTTCGACTGAAGAAAGAAAGACATGGACATCTTGGAGTAAATTATCAGCAAAAGTTTTTTTTTAAAAGTGAACTACTCCTTTAAATTGTTTCGCAACGCTAAAAAAGACCCAAGGCACTCGTTTTTTTTTTTTTTAAAAAGACAAGACTTGTTTTTTTTTTTATTTATAATCCTGAACCAAACTATACAAAGCAGTGGTCAAAAAGCAACCAAAACACAATAATAAAAAAAGGTTTCGCTTGAAGGACTGAAAGAACACCAGTACCAGCATACAGTTCTGTTATAGATTGTTTTCATTCTGCACTTCCCATATAAAACACAATGATAAAACAAAAAACCCCCAAAACTGTACATAAGGATAGAAAGATATAATCCTTTTAAATGCATATGGAACAAAAGACCTTCAAGATTTAAAAAGGGGTTAATTAACATGTTAGAGGCCGTTCAGAAAAAGGGGGCGGACGGGCGATGCGTTGACTAAGGAGACCCTCTCGTTCATGTGAGCCATCTGTTATGTTAACTGATCTGCTAAAGCGAGGGATTAACTTCTAGCAGCACAACCAAGTTAAACATCGTCTATTAGCCCCTGCTTAAAACTCATCTTTGGTCTTTAGTGGATCAGAAAAATGTCACCCATGAAAAATGACATGAACCTCAGGCTTTCAGTTGCTTGCGTGTACATCCGCTGGTCAAATAACAGAGTAGAATGTGTGCTTGTTAAACGTGCGCTAAAATAAACTGTCCGTCGTTTCTTTTTTTGATACAGGTTTCTAATGTTGGTCCTACACCAATAAATAAGGTCTTACAAAAGGGGACAGGGTCATGATGATGTTATGGGCCTCAGTGCAATAAAAAAAAAAAGAAAAGATCTTGTAGCGGCAAAGGAATGTCTGTGAAATATACAGAAAAGCACAAACTCTACTAGGTCGAACTGACCATACAGACAGAGCTACTGAAGGGCAGCGAGAACTTTAAGCTTTGACTTCAGCCTCTGTGGAGTCGCCGTTCTCCTCTGTCTTCTGTTTCTTTGTTTCCACTGCCTCCTGGAAAAGCAGAAAAGCGAAGATTAGACGTGCTGGATCAGCATGAGGGTTTGTGTCCACGTGTGGATTGAAACTCAAACCCACCTCCTCTTCTGCTGGACGTTTCACGGGATGTTCGTCTGCCTCTTTCTCAGCACCGTTCTCTTCCTCCTCCTCCTCTCCTGCTGTTGACAACCCAAAAAGTGTGTCATTAATCAGTTTTTGCACTAGTACATTCAGTAATAGTGAAAAAAAAAATTGTCAAACTCACCCTCCTCATCATCCCCACCCTCTTCGTCCTCAGGGGTTTCCTCTTCTTTATGTGAAGCACCATTAGTAGTCTACAGAGAGAAAACACTGTGAGTGAAACCGATACCAAGTTTGTTATGTCACCAGATGACTTATGAATAAAGTCAACGATTAAGTATCATTACGATAAGTTTGTGGGAAGGTCAGTTAAGTAAATAGCCAGCCTCAAAGCTGTTTTCTCATGAGATGCAACCCTAAACAAAGAGCAGCATGATGAACGAGGGGGAGGGGGCCCTTCAACACCTGCGCGGCGAGCGGGTGCTGGGGGACAAAAGCCACAAGGCCTGCTGGGAAATACTCAACGCTTACTGTTCCATTTCCATTGGCAGGTGCGTCTTCGCTGCCGTTTTCCTTCGCAGCCTCCGCCGCCTCTTCAACCACCTCCTTCTTTTCTTTCAGGTCCTGAAATAACGCAGAAGTTTATCGGTTAATAAACATACATAAACAATGCAGCGTGTGCTTATTTCACATTGATAGCATTGGTGTTTTTTTTATGGTAGTAAAGGGTAAAGTTTGTTTCCGTGAGGTACTTCCCCACCCACACACACAGATGAGGCACAGACCACACACACCAGCTGGATGACTGCCTGTTAAAATACATTAAATGGCAAACCAACACGAGGGTCATGAAAACCACCTTTGGCTTTAAATACACTTTTAGAAACTATGCCATCTTTCTTTTTATGATTTACCTTTCATTTAGCACATTGTAGTTAATGAAACTCAACGTGAACTACTGAAAGTGGGAAAAATAAAAGATTTTTTTTCCACCGCGTTATTTCTCTGAAAAAAAAAACATCACAATAGATCTATTATACTAAGACAAACAGTTTAAGTTCATGCCTTCTTGAATTAAATCTATTGTTTGGACACACATGTCGAGGTCATTTGAGGTTATTTCGCGCCGTCTTGCCCCATCGCCCCCTTTATTCCACGGTAGGGGACGTGCACGCGCATGCGCGCACACGCGCCGAGCTCGAAACAAAAGGAGGCAGAGCGCGCGCCAAGACAACGTGCTCGAAAGACTGGGGGCGGGAGGCGCGAGCGTTTTACAGCACGCGGCGGCGATATTCCCGCCTATTCGCGCGGCATAGATCAAGAACCTTGACTTTGCATACACACACAATTTTCAAAGAACGGGGAAAAAAAAATCTGGCAGATGGTTCACCAATTCACCCCCACACCCCCCGAAACCCCATACTTAACGTTAATTGGATATGATTACATATGGGAATATATGTCGAAATTTTCCCTCAGAGGTTTGCCTTATGTTGTACGTTACGACTTATTCTTGAAAACGTTGGTAGTGGTTCTTCTTTTAACCGTTAACGACGTTAATTCAAACACGACTCCGCGCGAAACACGAATAAACGGAAAATATTATGCTAATATTCGAATTATAACGCGAATATTCTATCATTTTCTCACTAAGAATTCATAAAAACACTATATTTTTGCCTTTTCTCAGTTTTAATATCGACACAAACCCACTTTTCTCAAATATATAGTTTAAAAGGTAACTTACCTTTGCGGTGACCTCGGTGGTGGTGGTCGTGTCAACAGCGGTATCAGCCATGGTGGTTTATAGAGATGTTTTAAAGAAAAAAAGCGTTAAAAGTGGTGGGATGAGGTAGGAGACGGTCGGACGTGAGGAGGAAGAGTGAATCAAAACTGCCAGAACCTGAGAACTGAAAGGCGAGTCGAGCGCAGCGGCAACATACTGACATCTGATTGGACAGAAGCGTAGCCACGTAAATCCTTTCTTCGATCTGATTGGAGAAGCCACTGTCAATTGTTTCATAAAGTCCCGCCCCTTACTTCGTACTTCTTGTAATGCGCCCGTCTTGTCTTATTGGTGGAATATTTAATTTTACCCTTTACCCGGTCTTTTAAAAATACTGTTTTAAGTGTCGAAATTGACTTTTTATTATTATTAGCCTACAACATATCAAACATTAAACAGATAGAAACGACAGAACAGATCTACAGGACCTACAGGAATGAAATTACTTAAAATCTTCTTGTAAAGGTTCACAAAAAAAATAAAATAAATAAAAATAAGAGAGAGAGAGAGAGAGAAAGGTAAGTATAGGCTACTCTATATAGGCTGCATTTGCATTTAAATAAATACAACCCCCCCCCCCCTCCCCAAATGAACAACAAATGTAGTTGTACATTTATAGTAACAGATTATATCTTTTAACTGAAAGGATGAGTGTCAAAGAGGTCAGGATCAATTCAAGCCATTCTGGTGACGTCAATCTATATTTCTGGCACCATAGTTGTTTTGGTTCCTTATTTTAGGGGCCCATTCTCTATAAAAAATAGTGCAAATAGTTAATGCAGTTAGTAAACTTAATTTAAGTTAATTAACCATTTTCTTCTGTGTATTTTTAAGTTATATTTTGTGTTGTTTTGTCATTAATTCCCATTCTCTTTGCAAATCCTTTTTGTCTATTTTCCTTGACCTTTCTTTCGACGTCATCTCTTGATAGTTGTTTTGTGTGGCTGGAACCTGCCTTCAAGCTTGCATAGATGAATTCAAGCTTCTTTGGGGGCTTTGTTTACAGCCACAGTTTCATTAGCATGTTGTATTCAGAGGCCATTGTGTCCCAGATGGAGACGCACCAGGCAGCTGTTTCATTCATAATGAGAAGTCACACTAAGATGCTATAACATGACTATTCCACACCATCAAACATCTCAGCATAGATAACCAACTGATTTATTGCCTAACAGATAAGCCACACAGTCATCTTGCTTCTCCGTTTCAGGAGAAGTACCTGTTGCACAAGGAACAGTTTTCGGTTGTGGTTCAATGTTCCCCTTTCAAGGGGTCAAACGAGTCAAACCCTGCCTCACATCTGCAATTCCTCAAAAGGAGTAAGCATACTGAACTAGAAATCATATTTTTCTCTTTCTTCAGACAATTTAAGTTGAAAATGTCCATATAGAGAGCAGAACTTTTATCAGGGGTTTCTTTTGAACACAGAGATAAAGACCCCCCTCCCCATTTGAATCTCATCAGATCTGCCGTACCGTAACAAAGCCCACTTGGTGGTCACAGATGGTGTGGGCCTATGGTGTGCTGTGTGAGGGGTCAGCATGTAGTCTTTGTTTTATCAGATGGAGTATGCACTAGACCACTGATTTAAACCTCAGCTTTGGCTCCAATGTAAATGAGAGACTATAGCTTCATTCAGGCTAGTTAAGTTTTGCAAAAGTAAACTTTGTGATTTTACTACATCAAAGCATGTAAAAAGAACACAAAGTATACTGCTTTTCAATGAAAATTATAATATTTTGCTGATATATAACATTTTCAAAATACTTCTCATTTATTTTGACCTTTGTTGAATACTTATTTTCATGTTGGGTGCAAATCTTCTGAGTCCGACTGAATACATTTAGGACTTTTCGTTATGTTATCCCAGCCCGTTCTCATCCCAAGGCGTCATACTGACGCTTTTGACAATGCATATACATCCAACGCACACGGCACCCTTTAGCGTCAATATGAGACGCATATACATATATAGGCCAGAAGGCGCCTCCTAGTGGTCTAACCCTAAACCTACCCCAGACCTAAACCTAAGCGTGGTAAATCATTGGCCAATTTTTTGAACGATGACAAGCCGAAATGAAATAGGAGTAACGAGGCTATTTTTAAAATGTAAGGAGTAGAAAGTTCAGATAATTGCATGAAAATGTAAGGAGTAGAAGTATAAAAGTCGGCTGAAAAATAATGACTCAAGTAAAGTATAGATACCCAAAATTTCTACTTAAGTAATGTAACAAAGTATTTGTACTTTGTTACTTGACACCTCTGAAATTGACGCTAAAGGTTGCCATGTGCGTTGGATGTCTACGCATTGTCAAAAGCGTCACTATATGACGCCATAAGATGAGAATGCATTGGTTATCCCATTCAAACTAAAATAAAAGATCTTGGTGCAAGTAAAGCAAAGTTGATCCTGGAACAAGTCCTGTCCAAAAAATGTAGTCCTAACTTTAACGCTACCTATAACTTATCTCTAAAACAGAGAGAAATGATGGTGAATAACACTGACGTAGAAGCAGGTAACCCTGGTATATACCTAAAATTGACATAAACTTGTCCCTCAAATCTGATTGGTTGATTGGAATGTTGTTCCAGGTTGCACTCGGTGAATTTAACAAGTAGAAACAAAAAAATAAAATAAAAATAAAAATAAAAGTACATCTGCATCCCAGATCATAATCCCATCTGCATGCATAGATGAAATGAACATGTTTAGAATAACAGCAATACATCTCAGAACGTTAATCCTGTCAAAACACTGCTAAAAGTCTTCACATTGAAAGGTAGATGTAATTAGCCCCAGAGATAAAAGTGTTACATGCATTTTTAATCTGAGAAGGTTTTAAGGGCTTGTGCTTGGATTGATTTGGATTTTTGGCAGTTTGTCAGAGTGGGCGGAGACTCTTAAAATGGGCAGAAAATTAATTAAATCTCATAAAGGCCTCGTTTGCATTTGGACGTCAACACGCTGGAACACATGCACATAGAGGCTCTTTCATTGGGGAAATGAAGACCATATGTAGCACACACCGAAACAGCCGTCTGCTGCTGTGTCTGCCGTCGTGCAAATCCAGACAAGTAACAGACGATTTTCCTTTTTAAGAAAACACTTCTTGCCCAAGCATTACTCATTCCCTAACTGGAAAATGGGAGCAATCGGAGAGGAGAGAGTCTTTGTTAGGTCATTTCCTGTAGTTTTTTTCCCTCTTCTAGAATACCCACAGCCTGCCCACGAGCTAGATTTGTTTCCATGGATACTGGAACTATTCCAATGATTGCCTGCTGGTTTTAGTGCGCGCTTTGATGAAGGAAAGCCTCGGAATAACCAGAGATGGGAAGAAGAAGAAAAGGGCCAACATGTTCCTCTAATCCTCACATTTTCTTTCATGCAGTGTGAATGGTTACTTTGGTCAATTTCTTTCTTTCTTTCTTTCTTTCTTTCTTTCTTTCTTTCTTTCTTTCTTTCTTTCTTTCTTTCTTTCTTTCTTTCTTTCTTTCTTTCTTTCTTTCTTTCTTTTTTTCTTAATCAAAAAAATCAACACGATTTAGTATCTTAAAGCATGTTTCTCATATTGTGCACATGTCATTCCAAAAATAAATAAATAAATAAATAAATAAATAAAATGCTCCGCCTCTGAAATGACTTTCCTTTAGATGACGTCACAAACCTCTCTTACGTCTCAACCGCTCTGAACGCTTCTAGCATTGCCCACTTTTCACAATACAATTGATTCCAGATGAATAAAATCAAGTCCTGGCTACATTTATGTATTTGAATATCCCCAAAGCTGCTCCTTAAAGGCACAGTAAACAAATTCTGAGAAATGCCGTTGACTGTGGATCAAGCCGAGCACCAAAACACTCTCAGCCAATCAGTATTAAAGGGCGCGTATACATTAATGAGGGGGGAGGGGCCTGTGTTGCATGGCGTGAATTTGGAGGCTATTGCACATTGAAAAAATATTGTTGGTTTAACTTAAAAAAGTAAGTAACCTGGGTTGCCTTAAAATTTTAAGTTGATTGAACTGGAAAAAGTGAGTTAATGCAATGAAGGAGATTAATTTAACCATCAGAAACTCAAAATAATAAGTTATCTCAACTAAATAAATTATTTTAAAGTTGATTTGACAAAAGAAAATATGTTGTGATAACAAATCTTGAAAATATTTTTTACAGGTACCATGTGTGTTTTGGTGATTTTAAAGATCAGAAATCGCCTACTGCACGTTTAAATACCGGCTTTTGTAAGCAAATTATCCAGTTTTATGACAGTTGCACATTCACACTCTAAAAAATGCTGGGTTGTTTTAACGCAATTTTGGGTCAAATATAGACGAATTCGAACATTGGGTTAAAAAAATATAATTTGATAATTTAAAAATGTATCCCAATGGCTGGGTTTGTCCATATTTAACCCAAAATTGGGTTAAAACAACCCAGCATTTTTTTTAGAGTGTCCACAGTAACCTCAGAAACCCCCATTTGTCTGTGGTTCCTGTCTTTAAACGCTGAGTTCATGACTTCCCCTTTAGGTCAGTGAGGGAGGGAAGTAATTTGCAGATGCACCTGAATTTTCTAGACAAAAGGCTGTAACCTGACCCTCGGAATTTCAGGGCTTCTGGGATGTTTGAGGGGGGGTTTGTCAAAGATCAGGGGTCAGGATTAGGGTAGAAAAGGTCACCGTAATTGGAAGAATCCAAGGGAGGGCTCTGTGTTCCAACTGTGCGCTTTTGTCTTGAACACTCTGAAATGCTTTCTCATGCCCGTGTGTGTACCTGATGAAAATCAGCAAAGCCCAAAGGACCAAAAGAGCATTATGGTCAGTTTTGCATTTGAAAAATACAAAACAATGCATTTGAACATTGATAAGTTTGTTGGAAACAAAACGTTGTGAACTCTTAGCACACGCTGTATGAATCAAATAAATCAATTACTATCATTTAACCTGCACATTTGTCCATCAAATGTTCTCGTTCAGGCTCTGTGTGCACAGTAAAACTCCAGGGTCAGTCCTTTGTGTCCTCAGGCTTTCTATCAGGGCATGATGCTGTGGAATGTGGCCAATTTGCCCCCCGTCCTGAATAGTGGCACTCAATGAGGCATGCTGGGTACTCCAGTAAGTGTGTCCACTGGTCTGGCAGTTAACA